GCCCCAGCACAGCATCTGCAAAAGGTGTCAGGTACAGAAAATCCTGTATTACCTGCTCAGCTGCGCGTGGACTGACTCACATGGTCAAAAGGGGAGATGTGTGCTTCAGGGCACAACACTGCTGTTCATACATACAGCCTAGCCTTTTTCTTTTCAATATATGTTAAACATCGCTAAAAAGGAAATTCATATTTTAAGGTTGAAATATCCTCCAACTGTCCCAGAGATAAGAAAAATTCCCTTACATATATACAATTAAAAAACTACAAATTTCCAGAAGCAAATGAAACGCTCTGCTCATTAGCCTTTTCTGTAGGAAACATTTCCCTTTCCTTGTACATTAAAAGCTGAATCATTTCCTTAAGACAAACAAGCAAACCCAAGTCAAGGACAAAGAGAAACCCCCACCCTACTTGCAGCAGCAAGACCTCTTGTTCACACAGCCCTGTGCAGCACGGGGCTCCTCTGCCCGCCTGAGCAGAGCAGGAGCAAGGAGAGAGGTACCTGTAGCACATCCCAGATGCAACACTGAGGTGGTGCCATGATAATTGCTCAGGACATACTGCACTCTTACCATTGCAGACTACGTATTCTTTGTCATGCCTTTGTTATATCCTTCTTTTGGAAAGCAGATCAGGTCCTATGCTCAGCTCCGGCATCGCAGAGGAAGACGCACAACTGATACCGTGTGATACAAAAGGGGGAAAGAGAGGTCAAATTTTTGATGCTACGTGTCTCTGTTTTAAAGTTTTTCATGTTATATTTAACATTTCTTCAAAGCTTAGATAGTTTTTTCACTTAGGTGTAAAAAAATTGAAATATCTGTGACACCTTAACTGGAGAGAATCCCCAACATGACCGTGCTGTCCATGCAAGGTCCTAACACAACCCTTGAGCAGATGTGCTCAGTACACCAGTGCTGGGCTCCCTGCCAGTTGCACACCATCCATCCAGGCTAACTCAAAGAATTTCTTCAATAAAAGCAAATCCATAATTCTGATAGAAACCTGCTTAGTTGCAACCAAGGTAAAACATAGACATGGAACAGGAAACAGTGTTGTAGTTGGACTCAACCACATGGTCAAATCACCTGAAACAAATCTCTCCCAGCTATCGTGGGCATTCTGAAACACGTTTGTTAACTTTGAAATAGATAATGAAAAATATCTCTTTTCCTAAAAGGACAGCTATATTGTTGTGTAATAAAGAACAGATGTCAAAAAGTATTTCAAAGACTTGAAAAATATATATATGCTAGAAAAACAGTATATAAAGGCAAGAGCTCAGAGCTCTGCAGTGCAGCCCCACAGCACTGTGCCACGTGTGCCATCAGGGCTCTGGCTGCCAGACCCCAAGGCTAGCACACATAGCTGGGCAAAGCCCCACTGGAGTGACCACAGCACAGCTGGGAATTGTTTCCCCACTGTAGGAGATTTCTCCTGGTGCCTCTGGTCACATGCAGGGAACTCAGATGTTGAGAGAAGCTTGCCTCAAACTGTGCAATGCGGGGCACAGCCAAGCCCTGGAGGTGTAAAGAAGTGTGGTGCAACCCCAACTGTAGTGCTCAGGAGAGCCAGGGCAGCGGGGCTGAGGAGCACTGCCAGCTTACAGCACCGAGCAACCAGCTCACTGCTTAAGCATGTGCTCAAAGAGCAAAGCTGAGATCCAGTTTCATGCACAGTTTTATTAGAGGCCAGGACTGAGGCCAACTGTTTATCTGGTGTCTGGCCTAAGAGCTGATAAAGACTTGGCTGAAATTTATATAATCTGCCATTAATAAAGGCAATTTATGATAGTCTGAAGCAAACACATGACCACCGCTGGCTTCAGTCATGGTACACTTAGCAGAGGCCAAACATTAGGCAGCACAGAGATGAGCCTGAATTCACTTCTTGTCCTTAAGTGCTGATGCCATAGGTCAGCCTGAGACAAAAGATGGTGTACAAGGTTCTGAGTTGGAATTGCCAGGCTCTGCTCATATAAGCTGCTTTAGTACAACCCAGTACTGCACTCCATTCCACCCAGTGCACATCCACAGTGTCGGCTCCAGGAACCACCCTCCCATTGCAGTGATAAACCTGAACCTGAAGTGATAGATGGATGAGTTAAACGCTACACACTACAAGTAGTTATGCTGCTGTGCAGCGGGATGAGTCACAGCCCATAAACACCTTTTCAGAATTAGAAACATCCAGATCAGAGACAGAAAAGCTATTGCATTGCTGCTGCATTGTGGTAATTTGTGAACAGGCAGAGAGGCTGTTGTGCTTTACTGTGCACTGCTCTTAGCCCAGGTGCCAGGATCCCAAGGATCCCAGCTCCCTGCAGGAGCCCAGCACTCCCTGTAAGAGTACTGGGTACTGCTGAACCCAGTACAACTGCTGGACACCCCAGCACAAAACACAGGAAAAACAGCAAAAACGAGCTGACAGAACTGAATGCACAGGAACACTTTTGATTTTTATTCATAACCAAAACAGAATTCAAGGAAATATACTTGCCAAATATTACCCCATGTAAACCCAGCTTAATACAAAGGTGCATATTCCATTGCCTGCAAAATATTAAAATTTTCACTTACCTATAATATACAAATCTGATGCTTACATAAGCTCTGCGTATTTAAGGAATGCATATTGAAATGTACATGCACATTTATAGTTCAAATTCATCATTTAAAGAGTTCCATGTCCCTATCTGGAAGCCAAGACATTTCTTTTCAAGATCTGTAATGAATGAGATCCAGATACAGGGTTGTTTCACATCAAGTTATCATCAGTGCCAAAAGTTTCATCCAGAGAAAAATTCCAAGAACAATTATGTTGATCTCAATATCAAAGACCTGGTTCTGCTGTATTCCAAGCAAAGAAGGCATCTATGAACGCATGGATAAATCACTTTAAAAGTACATGTCAGAGGATATTAAAGGCAGGCACATAAAATAATCTCTAGAATATTGCTAAATGAGTAATTTTTCAATCGTCTTTTCAGGGCCTAATATAATGTCACCATGATTTAATGCTAAAGGATTCTAATATGTTTACTTATTTAAACATGGAATTTAATCATCAGAGCTTGATCTCTCCAGATCATCTGGCTCTATAGCAAAATTTCACTGAAAAGCATTTTAAAATTCATCTGGGTTCATTCCTCTCACCATCTCCACCTACTTTGAATTACTCCCATACATCAAATCAATGCCAAAATTCTTGGCAGTGGAAGTTACACCATGCTAAGATCTGGCTCCAGGTACGAAGCTGTCAGGAGTGAAATGTCAGCACTTTCTCCAACAGCTCTTCTGAAGCACCTGGCTCAGGTCCTGCTGGTTTGCCCACCCTGCTCCCCTGCTGAGCTCCCCAAGCACCTACAGCCATCGGGGTTGAGGCCAAGCACGTCCAACATGCGGTACTACTGCTGGAGAGAGACAAGAAGTCAAGACTCATGGGTTTGGCTACTTGGCATCTATTCATTCGTTGAAGCTGAAGTCCTTCATGAATGGAAGCTTTTATTGATCTCAGGACAAAACAAGAGAGGAGTCAGCAGCAGTGCTGGAAGCTGAGGATGCAGTGTGGCACCACCAAGGGCAGGCACCACGCGTAGCAGGAGGCTCTGCTGTCATTAATGTTCATTTGACAGAGAGTGAAGTTTAAGCAGAATCCAGTAGCGTATACCCAAACCTGAGTCTCTCATGTGCCTCTTGGCGAGGTTGCATACTCACTGTTGGCCTGGTGCTTACAGAGAACCAAGGGCCATGAATACAGGCACTGCAGGAGCTGGGCCAGGAATGCCTGTGGTTGATTCATGGATTTGAACAAATGCCAAGCATAGAGGCCACAGGGAAGCTGCAGCTCTGACCTCTGGGAGGAAGGGATGTGGTTGAAGGTGGAGCTGGCAGGCAACATCTGAAGCACTTGCAGCACCTGAAGTTCCCACAGGAACCACAGTACTGAGAAACCTGGGTTGTCTCCGGGCTCTGTTTTAATCTGCAATTCATGGCAGTTGGTGAGACACTGAGCTGAATTCAGCTTACAGCCACAAGCAGAAAAGAATTTAATTCAGCCTTTGTTGAAACAACAGCTATTAGCCAGTGATGCTATCTGCTTCAAGAACAAAAACATTAAATAGAACTTGGATGATCTGTAATACATATGTCATAATTTAAATTATGAGCACGTAATTTGTGACAATAGGCTTCACCAAGGGAAGATTGGGCCTGACCAATCCAGTGGTCTTCTATGATGGAGTAACAGGATTGGTGGGCAAAGGGAAGGCAACTGATGTCATCCATCTGGAATTTTGCATGGTCTTTGACATGATCCCCCACCAAATCTTGGCTCTATGTGGGACAGATATGGATTTGAAGGAGGGACTTTTCGATGCATAAGGAATTGGTTGGAATATTGCAGTCAGAAGGTAGTGATCAATGGCACTATCCAGGTGGAAGCCAGTGACAAGCAGTGTATCCAATGGATCTGTCTTGGGACCTTTAAGATCTTTATCAATGACAGATGATGGGATTGAGTGCACTCTCAGCAAGTTTGCTGATGACCTCAAGCTGAGTGGTGCAGTTGATGCAGCAGAAGGAGAGGATGCCATCCAGAGGAACCTTCATAAACCTAAAGGTGACCCCACATGAATCTAAAGAGGATCAAGCAAAGTGCAAGGTTTTGCACACAGGTTGAGATAATCCCAGATATGTATACAAAATGGGAGAAGAACTGGAGAGTAGCCCTGCTGAGAAGGACCAAGGGATCTTAGTTGATGAAAAACTGAACATGAGCCAGCAGTGTGCATTGCAGCCTGGAAGGCTGATTGTATCCCAGATTCCGTCAGAAGAGGAGAGGGAGGTGATTGCCCCCTTCTACTCTGCCCTCATGAGATTCATCTGGAGTATTACATCCTGGTTTGGGGCCCCCAGCTCAGGAAAGATGTGGAGTTTTTGAAGAGGGTCCAGAGCAGGGCTACAAAGATGCTCAGAGGGCTGGAGCACCTCTCTATACAGATAGGTCAAAGGAGCTGGGACTGTTCAGCCTGAAGAAGGGAAGGCTGCGGGAAGACCTCATTGCAGCCTTACAATTTTTAAAGAGAGTTTATAAACAGGAGGGAAGTCAATTTTTTATGCTGGTAGATAGAGATCGGACAAGGGGGAATAGTTTTAAACTACAGGAAGGGAGATTTAGATTGGATGTTAGTGGCAAGATCTTTACTGAGAGTGATGAGGTGCTTAACAGGCTGCCCATAGAGGTTGTGGATACCCCATCCCTGGAGGTGTTCAAGGCCAGGTTGGACACTGCCCTGGGCAATCTGATCTAGTGTTGATCTAATGACTAGCAATCCCACCTGTGGCAGGGGAGTTGGAACTTCATGATCCTGAGGTCTCTTCCAACCCAAGCCATTCTATTCTATGAAATGGCTGGTAACAGCACCGCAGTTGAAAAAGACATCCCATGATTTCAATAGTGAGTACAATATAAAAATATTCTGCTTCTAAATGACAAGATAATTAAAAATTGCTTTATAACATCTTGCCACGTATAGCATAGCATACCTGGCTTTCACTCACACACTGCATGGATCCGGTTTGCTCCCTGGCAGCACACGGGCAACCCTCAGTTAGACATACAAGAGGATCACAGTCCTGGAGAGAATTACAGCTGTCCTTAATCCAAAGGGAAAGAAGAGCCCTCTAAATGATACAGAAAATTAATCACCACAAGCAGCAGAACTGCTTTGACAGCAGAAAGCAACAGATCCCAATGAAGGCCCATCCTTTCTCCACCAGGTGTGTCAGACACCAAGCCAGGGCTCAACCCCCAGCAGCCCAGCCTACCCCAGCCCAGTCCCACAGTGCAGCCAACATCTTCCTTACTGGATGATCTGCTCCAGGTGTGGCATGGTGAGGTCTTACAGCTCATCTACCTAGTTGTACTGAGCTGGGCTGCTTACTGACTTCTTTTCTATTATTATTTTATTATTAATTCTATGAACATACATGAATCTAACAAACATTCGATTATGGCTGCTTTCATCACAGATTTCACTGAGTTCGCTGCACTCAGGCTCACTCCTTTAACATTAGCCCCACTGAAATGGAAGAAGATACAGCACTACATATTAGTCAAACTGCAGAGATCATATTAGCAGCTGGGGGCTGTGCTAACTCCGGAAGCGACACCCCCAGAGAGAAGAGCTGATTCAAGACAAAAACACAGTTTGTGTGAGCAGGCCTGGGAGGTATAAGTAGAGGTCAAACTGCAGAGTACTGACCTCACAACAACAAAAAAAACCCACCACATTAATCGATGTAACACAGAAGAGAATTTGATGCAGTCCTATAGCAAGTCTTAGAGACAAACCCAAGTGCTCTCTAATAATGTGAGCACAAACCTATTTACATTTTTCATTGCTTATGCAGCTGGTTTGGATCTCCAGCTATATAGAATTGATCAAGCTCTGTATGCACATCTGGACTGTAAGAGTCATTTATAGAGGACAAAATTCTATTTTTTCCTTCTAGGCTCCTCTTTTAGGTTCTTTGCATCACCATTATTAATAAAATACAAGATTTTCCACATAAAGTGAACATTTTGGAGATCTTGTACAGAGGGAGACGCTGAAAATCAGCAAGATGCATTGCAGATAAATGTAAGCAGTTCCTATACAATGCACATGGGCATACCAGTATTGACACAGCATAGGAATTGACTGATGAATACTTCCAGACCATCATATTTCCTCACTGCTATAACACCACTTTATCAGAGCTGAATTCAATCTTAGACATCTCAGTGATTCATGACAACATAACGGAGCCAGCTCTGTAATTTAACCAGCAAATTACCTCTTTCCAATCTGCAGGGGAAGCGATGCACAGTATACAAGAAAATAGGCAGCTCGTGGAGGAGATGCATTTATCTGATTCACGAGGAAAGACGTACAAACTCGGTAAGTTCTTGGTACAACAGGAATGAGCTGTAGGATTGAACACAAGAATATTTACTACTTTTTGAGATATTCCTCATTGTTGGAGCAGTTATTTGAACGTAATCATGGTGTTTAAAATCTAGATGCAGTCCTGCTGCTACCATGGGATCAGTTTATAATTACTGGAGTCAATGAAAGGAGCAGCACATTCTGTCAGTTTTCCCTGAAATGTCTCTGTATTCCCATTTGGCTCAAATTCAGAAAAAAAAAAACCAAAAACCAAACACTATTTGCCAGACAGCCTAGTTTGGAAGCTGTTAAAGTTGTCTGCGATGAAGACAGAAGAACAAAAATTGTACCTTCTTCCTTCCCAAAGGAAGCAAAGCTGTGCCCCCAAAGACACTTTTTCAGAGACACAGAGCAATAAGACAAGGCATTTGTTTTCACCTGGGGAAGAGCAGCAGAGCTGCCTTTCTCTGGGCATCGATTCAGCTCTTAAAGTAGAACCTGAGCATATGGCAGCACTGTAAATAGTTAGGGCACAAAACAAATAAATAAATAGTACCTGATAGTATCTGAGATTAACTTAAGCCAGCAGGAGGAAAACCTCTGCAATTTGGCATTAAACATGTAATGATTAATTTCCCCAGTAACAATGAGGCAGTGTCCCCTAGTGGTTATAGCACTGGACAGAGCCATGAGCCCAGCAGGATGCTCCTTGTCACACAGATCCTCATGGCACAACTTCTGGCAGCTCCCTCTGCATGAGTTCCACAACATCACTACGGTGCCTCACACATGACTTAACAGGAACTAAACAGGCCCAAGCTGCCCAAACATTAGGTCCCAGTTAATGTTTATTGATGTCCTATTAGCTACGTTTAGGACCTTTTATATTTTTTAAGCAGCCATGAAGTCAAAAACCATCTCTGAACACTATAGTGAGTGCTTCTATGAGAACAGAACAGGTAGGGTATTGAAAAGAAAACTGATATAGCCCTTTACCATATGGGACCACTGGAGACGATGCTGGGAGGCCCACAATATGAAATATGCCACCTCTGATTCCCAAGTTTCTCATGAAGAAACAGTACATCAGGTCACCGTGAAGACTCATGAAATGGTCTTGAAACATGCATCCTAGAACAAGGGTCTAGGAGACTCAGCACATCACAGAGTCAAAAAATACTAAACATACTCTGACTCCAGAGGAAATAACCAGCTCATCTTACTACAGACTTACTATATTAATGACATCTTTAGACCAGAGAGCAACAAAAGAAGAGTTTCTTGGTTCTTTATGCAAATCACATTGTTCCTTCAGTTGAAAATGATTCCTGAAATAACAACTTGCTAGACCACTTTTAGCAGCTTGCTCGAAAACACTGTACCAAAGCCAGGAAATGTCTGCTGTGAGATTTCAGCTATGCTGTCAGCCAGCTTTAGAGCAGAGAACAGGTGCACCACAAACCTCAAGAAAAGCTTTCTTTATTTTTACCTGGGAAAAGAAAATAAAAAAAATCACATTCCATAAAAAGATCAGCTTGAAGTGAGTCTTGTAAAAATTAGATGTGCTGAAACAAGCCGGTATCACAGAGTTCCCAATTAGTCTGGTTATAACAAGGTGACTAACACAGGGGTTTTGAAGATCTCCACAGTGTTTCGAATTACGCCAAGAGCTTCTCAAAGTATTGTTAACTTGTGATTTAGCTTGGATTTAAATGTTCAGACTGGTTAATTAATAATAACTAATTACATATATATATATATATATATATATAGCAGATACATACTCATAACTGAATTTGTCTAATCCAAAGCATGTAACATACAGTAAGATAAATGAAACATTCACTCTGAAACTGGGATGTATGGAAATAACTAACCAGATCTCTACTAAGAGAATGCCATCTAGCACTTGCAATAAATATTCTCAGCTCATTGCAGAGCTGGTGGATTTCCAAGCAATCATGATTGTGATACATTGAGACATGTTACCAGGGGAACTTGATGAAATGCTACAGTTGAGAGAAAATTTTTGACCTAGTGGGAGTCCTGGAATTTCTCAGAGCGTTGCATATTTCTCTCTATTTCAGCCAAAACCAGCAGGCCAGCCTTCAACATTTAATGTTTCTCCAGAGCACTAACAGCTTCTACAATGGAGACAGAAAGCTTAATCACATTTTAATTGAGCCAAATCAGATTTCCAAATTCAACACACATTCAATAGACATTTCTTCCAGTTAAAATACAAAACCACTAGGCCTTCTGCAACAAGCAAGTAACTTACCAAAGATAGACTGGAGGGTTAAAATATAACTGCGTGCACGTGAAAAAGACATCTTTTAATAGAGCTACCAAAGGGGTAGTTGGTATACATTCTCTTCAAGGCACAGGAGTTTCCTCTGCAGGACTACACAACCCATCTGGGCAGCTGAGTTCCCCATGAGTGTACGGTAGCCACTGGTCATCTCTCCCCTTACTACGCTTTTTCGGACTCTTCCTGTGAAGAGAGGTTGAATAAGAGACGGTGGTAGGGCTGCCACTGGGCCAGAGAGGCAATTTACTGGAAGCAAACCAGGCCACACAATTATGGTACCATAATGAGAAGTAGACCAAGAAGCAGCTTATGAAGAGATTTATACAGTAGCTCAAAGCTTGTTGAACTGCATACTTTTAAAAATATTATTACTGAAGAATGCTTATTTATAAATGCAATAAAGGTTTAAATTTCAATAACACACCTCATGTTTTTTTGCACATTTAAGAGACCTGCCACAAATCTGTTATGAAAGGATACTAATTCAAGACCACACGCCTCTGCCAGACTCCATCAAATAGAATTCTGACTATGCCACAACACATACAAGGGCATTCTTGACTTTAATTGCAATGATCATCCCACTGATGTATAATTTTGTGGAAGCAGGTTTTAAATTGTGTCACTGGAAATAGTACAACTGTACAACTGCTTCAACATCACATAATTACGTCTCCCAAACTCAAACTGAATTCCATTGTGCAATACCATAAGAGAAAGCTGCCAGAAGCCAGCCATGTTCATTCCAGACAGTCACAACAAGCATGAATCTTCTTCCAGCTCTCAAACAACTACTTCCATTTCTGAGGAAATCAGCACTACAGATCCCACTCCTCGCAGTACACTAAGATTAAACCATCTTAGGCATCAGGTAGCTCAGTAACCTACAAATTCAGTTCACTTCTTCCCTACTAAGTTCTGACATCTAATGCAGTTTCCGAAAACCTTCCTGTTCTTAGGATTAAGTAGCAAAAAAATAAACAAGAGAGGCATAAAGGTAGCAATGATTATTATTGATGTTTAGCCACATGTAATTATTGCACCTAGTTATGTTTCAACACTATTTCCCAAGACACACAAAAGCCCTTCCTAGTTCTATCAGTTTTCAATCCCACACTTAGAACTCTAAGAAATACCCAGATGCAGCATAGAGGTTGTTCTGTCCATGTTTCCCTACAATACACAGTTGGAAGCTGTATGACATACTGAAGAACATTCATTGCAGAAAATGTGCTACCAAAGATCATATACCAAAACACAGTCTTACCAAAGCACTGCAATCCTATTATTACTATTATTGTTATTCAACAAACAACCATAGCTTTTCCAAGAAGCAGTAATGCTTACAACTGGTCTGACAGTGCAAATGACCGCAGAATCCCATCTCAAGTTCTGATTAACAGTTCTATTTATTTTTTAGAGCAGTCTTCTCTAAAAAGAGGGAAAACGTAATCCTCTGATTAATGACTAATATAACCAAGTCCTTCTATTAGCAGGTTATTTTTAAGATACCTAAACTTTTCTCTTAGCTGCTATGAGAGAAATAAGAGGGTATTTATTTCCCTCATCATATGACTAAAGGAAATTTATCATTTGGTTGAAACAAAGTACTGCTATTTCCTCTATGGAAATGGAAACACTAAATCATACATTTTTCTCACATACCATATTTTGAAAGGTCTGCATTCTTTCACGTTTCAGACTCAAATGTTCCCACAACTAAAGCTTGTTGTAGAAGCATTTGACTCTTAGAGCACTCCCACCTCCAGTAACCAATCAACCCCAAACACTCACCAGTTTTACATGTAGTCTTGTTCATCCAAAGTAAATAACTTAGTCTGTTCACTGGAGATTTATTATTTTAATGTGCTCGTTTCATTGTTGGCCTTGGCAGAAATGTCCAAGTTCAGGAGGAAAGATAGTGAAGACTGACAAACTTTAAATCCCAGAGTTACAAAATTCTACTAGGTAACAAATGGGAAAGATAATTAGCCACAGCACAAGCCATCACACACTTAATTTGGAGCCCCACCCCTATCAGATATTGTCATAAAGATGAAATCAAAGAGAAAGTGATGGCCATCATTTTCAACCACAGGTCCTGGAACTCGTAAGAAACAAGGAGAGCTCTTGAAATCTGGGGGGAAAAAAAAGCCTCTATTCTCTAAATTCTGTGGTTTGGTTACACATCAGTGATTTATGGTCATAAGCTGGACCTGGGACTGCTGTGAAGGAAATCGCCTTGGTGACAAAATACAATCCTTGTTTGCAGTAAAAACTGGCTGAACAGTCATCACATAGTGCCAAATAATTATATGCACGCGCACACACACACACACACACACCAATAGCAAAGATAAGTTCCTCTACAATTTGTATGCAATCAAAATTGAACCACTGTTTTGTCACTTCTGCTTAGGTTTGTGAAGGGGAAGCTTTGAGACATCTCCATAATTCATGAGAAAATAGTCAAATAAGTATAAATAAATTAAATATCTTTTAACACTGAAGTTTCATCTTGAAATTCGTATTTTATTAGGCATAAAAGGAGTTCTATTTAGATGGGCCAGAACAACTTCCCCCCCTTTAAGGATCATTGGCAAAGCAAATTGTTTCTACAATTTGTGGCCTCACTTTGGCTCCGTATGTTAGTTATTCATGGAAGAAAGCCTCTCTGGTCGTCAGACTTCAACTTCTCAATCACTGCAACTCCCTACCTTTTCTGTCATTTTTGTGGTAGCCTTTATAACTGTCAGCTGGACACAAGCTAGCAACATGCCCTTACAACCCAGAAAGCCCACCATATCATCTTGAAAAGAAGCGTGGCCAGCAGGGCAAGGGAGATGGCACTCTGCTCCGCCTTGTGAGAGCTCACCTGGAATACTGTGTACAGACATAGAGTCCTCAGTACAGGAGAGCCATAGATCTGTTGGAGTGTGGCCCCAGACAAGGACCACAAAAATGATTTAAGTGATGGAACACCTCCACTACTTGAACAGGCTGAAAAAGCTGGGGCTTTTTTAGAGCCTAGTAGGGAGACTGAGAGTAGCCTGTCAGACTCCAGACAGGGGCTATAAGAAAGAAGGGGGGGGACTCTTCAGCAGGGTCTACTGTGACAGGTCAAGGGGAAATGGTTTCAAACTAAAGGAAGAGAGATTTAGATTGGATATAAGGAAGAAAATTTTTACAGTAAGAGCAGTGAGGCACCGGCACAGGCTGCTCAGAAAGGTGGTGGTTGCCCCTTCCCTGGAGACGCTCAAACTCAGGATGGATGGGGCTCTGAGCTGTAGGTGTCCCCGTCCATTGCGGAGGAGTTGGTCCAGATGTCCTGTAAAGGTCTCTTCCAACTCAATTCCATGATTTCTTCCTGTAAGAAACAGACTCAATGCAATTCAGGAACCCAGTTTCAGTAGAGCAGAATGCTGCATACTTTGCAACACACAGATATGTTCAAAGAAACTTTCATGTGCAGTATTCTGTCACCAAAAATAACCCAACTTCTGGTTGATGACAGAGACTGGATCCTCCTGTCTTCTGCTAAATAATAGCTTGAAAATTACCCATATAGAGTGCAAAAGGGAAGCAAAGTATTTTCATAGAAGCAGTGGAAGTATCATTGTGAAAGCAGCATAGATATTTTTCAGATGTACAGTTTTATTCTCAGTAGAATTCTTCCAGATAGTCAAAGGAAGAACTGAGCCAGCCCTTAATTTGCAAAATCTTTTCCACCTCCTTTTAAGTGGATGAACTGCAAAACAGCTACAGCAGATGAAGAAAGATGAAACGTAACCAGAACCACAAGTATCAGATACACCAGGAGTTCAGTTTGGTGAACCTGAGCTACTGCCAACAATAGAAAGGAAAAATGAAAAGCAATCAAAAAACCAGAACATTTCTAAGTATCAGTACAATCAACTTTAAGTCTAAAATAGCCTTTGCTAGCTACCATTTTCTGATGTCCTCTGGGACTTCTCCCTGCCTGTGCCTTAAAGCATGGCTCACTTTTGCCTTCAGACAGCACAGATAACAGTTGCTGCTCAAGAGGCATTATGGGCTCAGTGGCATTATTCTTTTCTCCACTGTGAATTTGCAAACTAAAATAAAGCTGTGAGTCTCTATATACTCTTTAAACCACTGCTAAAACTCAAAAAACAAACAAAAAAGAACACCAACATTTCCAAGTGCCCCCTATCAACCATACCATAGGTCACCAGCAGGATGCCATGCACCTCCAGAACACAGGCTTCTAAAAGGCTGTGACCATACTAAGTAGACTGAAAGGTGTACATACATTTTGCTGTCCAGTGTGGAAGCAGATCCTATCAACTCACTACATCTCAAAGACGGTATTTTACTGAGATGCTGAATTTTCCATACTGTTGAAAATTTCAAGGTCTTTGAACATGCCTCAAAATGAAAACAAACTCAAAATATGAGAACTATACCTCTTCTCTGTGACCATTATTGATTTCAGCTCATCCACAGTATGGTAGTTTTATTTTTCCTCTCCTGACAGTACTTTAGTGATAAAAACTAAATCAAATCCAACCCTCCAAACGCTGCCCTTGTAGAAATGCACAATAAATCAGGCCCAACTTTCTAAGCACTGACCTTGCCACTGCTTCGTAGGTGTCCACATTTGAGCTGAAGTTTTCCTTGTCCTTATCTGGGAAAAGATAGTGTGAATTAAAGCTTTTTTTTTTTCCCCCTACTTGTTCTTCTTTTCTTTTTCATCAAACAGTAACTATTACCCTTTGCCATCCCTCTCTCATCCCTTTTTCTTTGGTAAAATTGACCTCAATAACAAATCATTCAAATAGAATTACAACATATATAGTTATTTAAAACAACATTTAGTAAGGCTTAAGTAATGACTGCTTACCCCTAAGGAAGAATAAAAGGTTTGGCCTTGCCTGCATCCTGAAAATATTTCATTTCAGCAAATAATCTGAAGAAGCTTTGGAGTATGAAAGTGAGACAGCATATGTAACTCTGCAGTTGTGAACAACATAAAAGCAGCCACATTAAAACACGGGAATGCCTAATTTCTGTTGTAGCACTTGGAAAAAAAAAAAAAAAAAAATCAGCCTTCCAGCTTTAACAGGAAAGGATATAAAAAAAACAGATGGCAATTGTTTTGAATGCAGTTCATTGTATTCATTTGCTGACTCAGCTTTATTTCTCATTGTAGACCCATTACATCAAAAACCTCAGGTACTTACAAATAAGATAGAATTACTGCAACTACACAGTTCAGAACATAACCATTATAGCCTGTTAACCTTCAGACAGTCACATTTACTTTTCTGAGGTCAAAATAAGGTAAGCTTTTGGAGTTCTTAATATTGTTCACAAGCATAAGCAGCCAGCTCTAAAAACATGTCTGCAGTTCATCAGCACTCCTGCTGCCACACTTCATGAAATTCTTTAATTCAATCAGCATGCTGGCATGGAAGGATACACTCTTGCCTTGCACATTCCTGCTTGTGTATGCTGTTCATTTGGGCAAACAGCATTTTCATGAGCAGAAAGAAAGCAACGTGCACATATTAAACAACAAGCTCCAAAGTGAAAAGGCTCACAATGATCATTTATGTTACCTCTTCCTCTGTAAACCAACAGCGTACACACAATGAGGCTTTTCTTTTTGCAAATCAAATAAAGTATCTTAACTGCTAATTCAGACAGTTCACTATTTCTTATAGTACTGTTACTATCTGAATGGTTATTAATAATCATAATCATTTTACTAATGCAGTGCACTGAGACTTTAACAGTAACATGAGAATGGAGCCTTACATTCCCTACACATACAAGCCTTATGAGGAGTAGCTGAAATAACTGGGATTATTCAGTCTGGAGAAGAGGAGGCTCAGGGAGATCTTATCGCTCTCTACAACTGCCTGACCTGAGGAGGTTGTGGTGAGGTGGGGATAGGCCTCTGCTCCTGGGTAACAGCATCAGGATGAGAGGAAATGGCCTGAAATTGTGCCAGGGGAGGTTAAGATTGGATATTAGGAAAAAATTCTTAGAAATCTAGAGCAGCAGTGGAACAGGCTGCCAAGGGAAGTGATGGAGTCACCATCCCCAAAGGTGTTCAAAAAAGGACAGATGTCACAGGCACGGGTTGATGGCTGGACCAGATGATCTTAATGGTCTTTCCAACCTTAATGATCTATTATTTAACAAGCTAAAACATTCAGAGTGATAGCAACACTCCTGGCAATCCTGTAAGAAAACACCTGTCTATAAATACTGTATAAAACCAGATCAACGCACAAAAAGCTATTGTCAATTGCAAGGCATTCTGACATAACAGTACTCAGTACTCATAACAGTATCAGACTCAACTTCGCAGCTGCCATTTCATTCTGATCATTATTTAAGATATCACAGATCTCAAATTTAATTTTCAATTTGCAGACTGCATGGAAGAGTGGGTCTTGCAATTCTTGCCATGTAAAATTTAGCAGAAGTTCTGCTGTAACACTTCAGGAGATGCACTGTAACTTCATAGCCTTGTACATATCCTGTACACAAACATAGCATGCTGCAATTCCTACAGACTCCCAGCTTCTGTTTCCACCATCTAAAATAATTATTTGACTTTCAGTACTTACTGTTGCCAGTTGTGTTTGGAGGTATGCGATGCATCTCTACTCTGGCTTTACAACCTCATTAGAGGGTATCTGAGATGTGAGTACAGAAATCCAATCTGTGTTCGCAGAATTTTGCTCTCTGATCCTAACATGGTATGAATAATTTTAAGTACATTATTTAATTTAAAATGTAAGTACAAATCCTTTAAGGACTATTTTCTCTTAGTTCCACATTTCACGCTGCTAAAACAAAGTCGTACAGAAATTGCGTTCTGTTGTTTTTGCTTTTTAATTAACAAAAGGTGACTCTTAGAAATAATGGGAGAGATCGAGAAATTTCACCTCAAAATTAATCTCAGAGCCAGCATACCATGAAGTTTAAACAATTCCTCCAGAAAAAGTTAATTTCAATATTTCTGTTTGCAAGTCCCAGTAGTTTAAAGACTTTCACAGAAAGCATTTTAGGAAATGGTTACAAACCTGCTTTAAAACATGGATCATAATAGGCAGTGTACTGTGTAACCTCCTAAGGCTACCTGAAAACTGACATTAAGATATTGCTGAGACAAGGATCACATGCCCAGTGTTCAGAGATATTATCATCCAGCCATCAGGCTGCAGCTGGTGCTGCTGAGCTATGCAGAGAAGTGCAGCCCCTCTTACAGAGCAGCTATCATCTCCTTGGGGTGCCTGAGCTGCAGCCCATGCTCAAGTGCACTGCTGGACTGCAGCTAATCCATGGCTTGTGCCCATCTGAGAATTCTTATGAAGGCTACAAAAAAAAAAAAATCCACACTTTTTGTATTTTTAAGAAAATATCATTTGAATCTCCCGATGTTCAAATAATGAAGTGTTCTGGAAGAAGGGAAAAGCAGGAATTAGGAATTTTAATACAGAATGTCACCCATTTTTTATTCCTACAAGCAATGAGCAGGGCTGCATTTGATACCATTCCTTCCTCTAAGCCCAAGCAGCATTATCATATCAACCTGAGAGTGATTACAGCAGTTGCATCATGTCACCTGCAGCTATTCCTTTTTCTCTCTGCTTTCCATTAATCTGTATTTCTCTGATTATCACAGGATGTAGTCTTGGCAAAGACTAACTCATCTAATCTATAGTGGTATTCCAAGCCCTTTGAGAACCATCAAGACACACTAGCTTCTGGAAGCACCATAAGAACATCTCCATTTACTTCTGATATTTGTCAATTTGTTTTGCTTTTCAAAGGAATCAAGTTAAAATGGAATCTTCTTTCAGTTGCTGAACAAGCTATTATGAATGATTTCTATTCAAGAAGCAAACATCTCATTCTCTACCAAGCTACTTAACCCAAAACAGAAAGCGTTATCAACAGAAGTTGCTGTGCATCCATGCCACTGACTCAGGCACACATGCAGGGTATCTGTACACATCCATTGCTGAGAATCCATACAGTAAGTGACCAGCAGCTGCTGTAACTAAGAAACAAGACAATTAAGCTCAAACTCCACTTAGCCTTCATGTTTACCTCTGTAAAATAGTTAAATGTTCTTGGTTACAATTTTGATGGGTGGTAGTCTCAGGAAAGATTAGTAAAGAATGAAAACAGAAGCTCTGCAAGACATAAAAAGTAAAATAAAATATGCTGATATCTGATAACAAAAAAAAAAATTGTACCCAATTCATACAAAAAGCAGCTCTCAATGTCACATCCTATGTAAAGAAAGCACACTGCAATTTTTTACTCAAGAAATTTTCAGTTTCCTTGTCTCCTCTCTTCAATTATCCTAAATCCTTTTTACTCTCTTCTGTACTTAAGTAAATACAAGGGCAAAAGCACAGACAAATGACAAGCTACATTTGGCTAGCAGGATTAACTGTAATTTTTCTTACGATGTCAAAACTGAAAGAAAGGAGACATCTTTTCTCTCTTACAAAGCACTGCATTTGTTACAACTCTTCTAAGGACTAACTTGAAGACACTGCATAGATAAGCAGCATCCTTCTATGCTGGCCTCAGATTTATTTCCCTCATTTTTATATAACTCAGACATGGATTTCCAAAATAAAGATAATCTGTTCCAGTCTCTGTTCCAGCCAAGCTCAAAGGAAGTTACATTCAACTGCAAAACACAGAAGTCTGGATATGATTAATGAGATGCATAACTAGCTCTATATTTGACAACATAGTTTAATTACCTGCAACATTAGTTCTGGAGGGAGGAAAAGGGAAGGAAATACGTGCCAAAGCCCATCACCCTGGTCCAACACAATACCACAGGACTGCTATAACAAGGTGTGCCTTACAGCACTGACACCCTCCTCAAAAATTTTGCATTGATTCCATCCCCAGCCAGAAGTTTGGTCTCAGATGTTGGGAGAAAGGTCAGAACTGCAGTGAGCAAGTAAGCCAGAGCCACAGCCCCACCACAGTGACCTCCTACTCTATCTCATCAGTTGAGTTAATTTGTTTTATCAGCCCATTTTGAATTCAGAGCCACTCAAATACACAAGACGTAGCATTTTTGCACATTTGAGATGCAGCAGTAAAGTAAGGCAGCAGTTTACTTTTTCCTAAGCATCATCTAAAGGTGGGTACCATATTGCACTGATTTGGGAAATGAACAGAACCAGTCTCCTCTCTTTTCACTGCTGCAGTAAGCATAGGAGAGAATCCAACACAGTAATAAGAAAAAATGTTATCTCTTTGTGGAAGGAATTAATTCTGTTCCTCTTTGAAGTAAGAAAAAAAATAATTAGCAAAGTTGTCAACACAAAGTATAACAGTAAGCAAAAAAAAGTAGATGAGCACTGGATGGGAAATCCAAGAAATTAAAAAAAAAACATCAGGGTCAAATTAAAACTAGAAGCCTGGAAATAACAACTATTTAAAACTCAAGATAAACACGAGTACCTATCAAACAACTTTGGGCCTTCCTCTAGTTGGGACAGTCTAAATTCAAGGTAAATTCAAGATACAGAACCACTTGGGATTAGGCCTTCTGTTTCTGACATGCTCTGCATTTCAGAATCAACCAGGGATTATAAGATCATTTCCCATTGACTAGAGATAATAAATGAACTTCCTTCTTTTGCAAGGAGATGCAGTTTTCTGGAACACAGAATGTTTCCAATTGTTCAGCAACTAGCAGAGTACACAGCACCAAGATCATAGAGCTGCAGCTCCCTGAAGTCCGCCAGCTCTAGCTTTTGGCAGAACAGTATGAGCAAAGACCATTTCCAAGATTATCAACTTATTAACATCTGGATTTGTCAGAGCATTCTCCCCAAAGTGACTATGCTGTAGGACACAATTATGTAGCATAATTTGTGAAGTACAAGAAATGAGTCACTTCACAGCCCACCAGAAAAGTATGCAGACAGCACTCAAAAGAATTGTATGCGTAAGAGAGGGCTGAGATACTGGTGTGCAGCAGCAAGGAAAGGTCAGATTTCAGAACCATCAGGTTCTTCAAGCTGCAAGGGGTAGGGAATCTGTGTGTCAAACAGCTATTATTCATTGTAGAATGTCCCTGCCCTGCACACAATAAAACTGACTATCAATCCACAGCATTATTATAGCTGACAACAGCATTTCTCAAATTCTTCCTTGTATTTATTATATTATAATTATTGTATTGTATTATTATTGTATTGTATTGTATTATTGTAATTATAAATTATTATTTATTATTTATTTATTCCTTGTATTAACAGAAGTCTGGGACTTCAGAATCCAAGGGGTTAAAAAAAAAAAAATCAGAAGTCCAAACAAAAAAAATCACATTCAAGTTGAAAGAGATTGATATTACCATCTATATCTAAAATGCAGTCATTGTGAGACTATTAACACAATGCACAGTGATTTTAACACCGACTTCTACACTGTATATAGACTGTAAAACACAGAGGTGAGGAGATAGGGGTCAAACTCACCAGGCCAACTGTTAGATCAGGGACAACAGCATCAACTCCTCAGGTTTTTCAACACATTTCACATGTGGCTGACTGAAAAAAATTCTTTTGTACTATAAGCTTTTGGATGTATCTATTCTTAATTAAAGAATTTGAGTGAAAACCGATATCTCATTAGGAAAGATGACCAACCAGCCTTTCTTCAGGAGATGTATTTTATTACACGTTAAGGCAGCAGTTGTGAAACATTCCTTCCTATTATGGGAAGATTTATAGTAAAAAACGCAACTCAAAAAAAGGAAGCAAAACCAAAAAGAAAACCCCAAATGAAAAGAAGTCCCACCTCTTTTCCCATCATCATCTGCTACTATTCAGCTTTCCAGCAGCCAGTTCTGATGGTTGCAAGTACCTGCAGATGTGTCCGTGACAGTGTTTGGTGCACCTTGTCCACTGGTAACAAGATTTGATATGAACCATAATGCACTAAGTTTAAATTCAACTTAACAGTTTAGTCACGTCTAGAACGCAACATGGAATTAGAAAGCAACCATAACACCTTATGATGACCTTATGATTCCTTTAATATTTACAGACGTAACTCCAACTTCACTTGAGAGGCCAACAAGGTAATTGCAAGAGAAGTCCTCCACTGTTGACGAACACTGTACTGCTCATCCTTGAGATATGCTGCAGTTTCAGCTACATTTTAACTGCCAAAAAAAGCACCTTTTTAATGAAGTGTTTCATCCAAAATATTCACAGACAAAATAAGTGAAAAGCAAAGTCGCCAGCATTATTCAACGTTATTTTAATCTTTACTGTGTTAAAGTAAAACAAACAAGTTAACACAAACAGAATATGCACTATTACAGCATTTTAGTTCATAGAAATTTCATTTATAATTTTATAAAAATTATATGAAAGAATACCAACATCTTTCAGTAACACAGACAGTGTAGAAAAAAATAAATCTCCACATTAGTTGTACTCTGACCACCTATAATAAGAAGTTTAAAAGTGCCTTTTAACAATGGTGCGGCAAATCAAGATTAGTGCAATATGCCAAATCTGGTTTAAAGCAGCTATTTATAGCAATTGTGCAAATTCCAACCATTAATAAACATCATACATTTAAAAATGACATACTGAGGTAAGTACTCTAATCAGAATGAAACATTCCTTAAATAGCTTACACACCAATTCTACTACATGGAAAACATCAGAGTCCCTTCACAGAAAGGCTCAAACCTGAACAGAAGACCAGTGAATACCTGGAAGTTAAGAAAGCTCTTGCCAAATATAGAATTTAGTACATTTAAGATCCAATGCTACAAGCAGCAATTAATACATAATGTACCAACAAAAACAAACATTACAGTCAATCACCAATAATTTGCATCTGAATGCACTATTTTGTTCTCCTATCATAGTACCTCCTAGAACCTCCCATATAAGGTTATTACATTAGCTTACTGTAGAAGTTTCACAGTCTTTTATTTCTAAACACAAACAATTTGGTTACCAACTACGACTGTAGCTATGACTATCAGTAATCTTCAAGCAAGTGAAAAACGGTACTAGCTGGAAAAAAATTGAAGTTTACTCTGCAAGGCTTATATATGACAAGTTGGTGATAAAAAGTATTTCATAATTCTACGTGACATTTTCTGCAACAGTTCTCAGAACACTACAATTAGGTTTAATTTTCTAGTAAGTCAGAGTAAACAAACTACAATGCATAGTAACTACTGCCTTTAAATGCAGGCCTCATTTCAAGAGGCAAAAATTACACTTATTGCTGATCCCTTACTGCCCATCTGCATACAAAGCCAAAGACATTTCATATTCTATTTTCAGTGTACTTAAAAGCAGAATCTACGTCACTGTAGTAAACAGGAATAAAATATACATTAACAAATGTTCATTCCGATAGGCTATGGCTTAAAAGCCAAGCAACTGAACTGTTCTCCCTATTATTGCACTTGAGTGTTAAACTGAAAGACTGCACAGAACTGCTGTAACAACCTTTAAAAAAGCAATAAATACTATGCAGTATCTAAGAATAATACCAATAAGTTTAGTACAGATTACTCCAGCCACTGTGTGAACCATACCACCAAATGGGCCTGGGAAAGTCCAACCACACAGTTCTTTGAACACAGTGGACAATCCATAACAATAGGAAGCAATTAAAGCTTTCTACAGTAAGATTATAAACTGAAACAAGGTACTCTTGAGTACATGTAAATTAGCACAGAAGAATTTGTTGCCTTCGCTCTAGACAGCTTCAGTAGTTAAACACAGCTAATCTGCAACTGTGCACTGTCCATACTAGGTTATTTTACAGGCAAGCTCAGTCCTTTGTGAATTTCTTATATTAACCTTGGAAACTTCCTGCTCCTAAAACACCAAATTTAAGGAAAAAAACTTTTAACCATCACTGCAGTGATAAATTGGTTAAGTCTGTTACAGAGTCCCTAATCATCTGTTCTACCTTAGGATTTTCAGCTCCGCTGGTTGCTAGGTCCTTGTCAATAAGCCCCAGGTTGTGCAAGTTGAGGATAGAATCAGCAATAATGCGGGCAGTCCTCTTCTGGTAGCCTCCAGATGTCACCATCAAAATTGGGATTCCACGGCTTCTGGCAGCCTTGAACACGACTTCATCTCTCTTCACAATTCCCTGCATGTTTACAACAGTTAGAAAAAACTGAAGTGGTACAATATGGTATTTTAGTTCTAACAGACTTAGTTGCTGGCTTATGGATTTGCAGTACGGGATGCTTAACAAGTAATTCAGCCTTGTATTTTGTATTGGGAACACAGAATTATTTTAAAAGCCTTGTTACAGACATTACATTATAAGCCTTTAAAAAAAAAAACGACCAACAAAAACAGCAAATCTAAAGTCTTTGTCTTAGTTCTAGAGGACACAACAGACAAAAGTTGCTTACTATAAATTCTTATAAGAATTCTTGCCCATGAGATATTAGGAAGTAAAAAAAAAAAAAAAAAAAAACAACAAAACTGTCCACAAGCAAATGGAAAATTCAAAAATGTAGCTGAAAAATATTTTGCAAAACCATGAAATAGATGTTTTTAGTTTGACACGACTCTGTAAAAGAACAGTGGGTGCAAACACTAACAAATGAAAATCAAGACAGAAAAGTAAAGAATTATATTGGGAACAGATCCTGCAAAGAAGTAACAGAATTACAGAACGAGCTGTACACCTCTGGGGAGCAATCAGCAGAGGCAGAAAATGCTATCCTAAAGGAGAACTGGAAGCAGTCACTACTCATGGGAGCAGAACTGCCTCAGCAAATCCTCCAAAATCTCTAGTGGGTGCTCTGAAAAAACAGACATGGGTTTACTCCCAGCTTCTGCATGTTACTGCAAAAGAACACACAAAAATTGAAGATGACTGAAGCCTACTCCGCTTGCAATTTAGAAACAAGCTAGAGAGAATCCTGCTGCACATCAAACTTTCTGTCTGTAGTGGAAGCCCATTTTGAGTACAGTTAACACTACAGCGAGACTTCAAAACAAAAACAGCATCCACAACTGAAAACTGGACTATTTCGCTTTGAAGAGGCTCAATGTCTTCAGTTTTGGCAGTTCCACTAGGCTAGGATTTCCAGCTTGGTGAAACACATTAATCATTCCTAAGCCAACAAGATCAGAGAAAAGAAACCCTGCCCTCAGTTCAGAAACTTTTCTCCATCAGATGTCTGAAACAGCAGTCACACAAAGAAATGGCACACATTGCCTTTCACCTCTTCTTGTAAAGACGGAGGGAAGGAAAGGTGTAATAATTTTAGTGACATTTTATATAAACAGCACCCAACTGGCTACAACTCACTGTTCTTAACAATTAAGATATGGCAGAAAAAAAATTGAAAAGGCACATCAGTGTCTTTCATTTATCACTTGATGGCAGTCTCCTCTCCAAACCTCTTCCATTTCTCAGAGGAACTTTTACACAGTCATCAAAGGAAAACCTGGAAATTCCAACCAGTTCCCAAATCTTTTTACCCCAGACTCATTAAGGTATCTGGAGGCAATCAGAAAGCAAGAACACACAGCTTGGTGATGGAGACAATGAGGATGAGGAACTGCATCAGAAAGGCAACAGAAACTAACAAGAAACTAGAGCTTTGTGGAAGACTGAGAACTAAAGTGCTGAAAAACAGAACAGACTGAGTGATGGCTCCTTTAGAGGAAGGATTTCAAGAGTTCATAAATCAAGAAAGCATTTTCTTCTTCCTGTATTGAACTGGTAGACAAAGAAAGAAAGACAAGCCTGAAAACAGGACAAGGAACTGCCAGGGAAAGAATTATCAAAAAAGAAGAGGAAATGTGAGAGCTATAGAATTTCATATTTTGAGAAAAACTTATCTGTTATGATATTGAGAAGGTGAAGACCTCTATGCAGGACAAATGAAAATTTAAATCTGAAACTAAGCGAGGGAGAAAAACTAAACTGAACAAGGAAGTGATAGTGCTATAAGAAAGAATGGAGAAAGTGGATAAAAACTCTTCATTTGTTAAGAATAACAAACAGGCTGCACAAGACTGCTAGATATGGGAGACAACAGAGGAGACTTTTAAAATAGACAGAAGTGCTACAGAGGAAATTAAGTGTTAAGATACATACCAAGCACAAGTGACAAAAACATCAAGTGGATTGTATGAGGGGCAA